CCTATTTAGGACAGAACAGGCAGGCAAAGAAAAGCATTTTTGGTGTGTGTGTGTGTTGGTTTGTAGTGTGATGTTTTCATTAGTGTACCTGGGCAGATTTTTCTCTTCCGTCTCCATCTGTTGATCATGCTGTTGTTGCTAATGTTGGACTCAGCATAACTTTTGCTGTGTCTTTTATATTCAAGGATTTTATGGTTGTGCAATCACAGGACCCCAGGAGCCATATCTGTCGTGTGTGCCCTCTGCAGGGTCGTGTGTGTTTTTGTGTAGCTGTTTGTTATATAGATCTAATTGTTCAATGAATTTCTCTCTGCTAAGCTGCTAGTGTGATTAACTGTAAAGCCTCAGAGACACACTGAATGCCTGTGGCACTCTGGGTAATCTTCAGCAGGAGACATGGCCTGGCTCTGTGTTTGACCTTTGTGTGTGTGTCTGTTGGGGGTCATAATTAATGTTCTCAATTCTTATCTGAGGTTATCTTAATGTCTCCTCTCCACAGTGTCTTGAAAGAGCCATGAAGTTTGCCTTTGAGGAGTTTCATCTCTGGTTCCAGCTCGCTCTTTCCCTAATGGCTGCTGGGAAGGTTAGCGTTCCATTTTCTGCATTCAGTGTACCTCAGATTTCCCATAGTAATAGAAAACCTAGAAATATCAGGCAATTTTAGTGAAATGAAAATGAATAATGTTAAAGTCCTTTTATGTAATTTATTTTATATCAATTTAAAATAAAATCTCTTATATATTCAATACTGACTTATATTCTCTTATTTATATGTTGGGGTCTATAAAATGTTTGAAGATTTTGAAAAAGGTTTCTTATGCTCAACGACTTGTGTTTGATCAAAAGTACAGTAAAAACTAATATTGCAAAATATTATTACAATTAAAAATAGCTGGTTTGTACTTTTAATATATTTTAAGAAATGTCATTTATTCCCGTGATAAAAGGAATGTGTGAATAAAATAAAATTTATATATTAATCTACTAGTAATACTCTGCTAGTAATGACTCTTATCTTGGTGTTTGTGTGTGTAGTCGGCTCGAGCAGTGAAGGTACTGAAGGAGTGTATGAGACTAAAGCCGGATGATCCCACCATTCCTCTGCTGGCCGTCAAGCTGTGTATTGGAAACCTGCACTGGGTAATAAAAGAAGAATCATGGGAAATATGCACAGGCTCAACCGGAGAGCTGACCCTGACCTGTTTACGACTCTGTAAATCCATTACTGATAGACCGTCCACAAACAGTGAGATGGTGATGACATGGGGTGTGTATTTGTGTGTTTTAGCTGGAAGAAGGTGAGCGCTTTGCTAAAATAGTGATTGATATGGGTGAGAAGGCGGCTGAATTCAGGGCCAAAGGCTATCTAGCTATCGGTCTCGTCTACAGCCTGAGAGCCACAGATGGTAAGCATACCTGCAGTAGAACGCACCATTTTAATACCCTTATAAGACTATAATCTTTACTGGATCTTCTGTAACACACTCTATGCCTTCCCTATAATAATACTTTACACACTTTGTCTTCTGTAATACACTCTGTACCTCTCCATAACAGTCTATATTGTCTCCCTAATTCCTTTATAGTGCTGTATACCCTTTCTCTACCCTCTAACACACTCTGTACCCTCCCAATATTCTTTTATGCTATTTGTTTCTCTACCTTATATAATGCACTTAATGAACCACTCCATAATGGTCCTCTATAGCACACTCTATACCCTTTCTGTAATCCATTTATATTTTATACACTGTCTATTCTGGATCACTCACTCTGTACCTCTCTGTATATCTATATTATTTACCCTTTAAAATTTGCTCAGTACCTCTGTATAATTATTATAATTGTATAAACTACTCTTTACCCATCTTCTGTCCTTTATAACAAAATATACTATTTCTTTAATCCAAGAATATAATGTTCCATGTTTTGTCCACCCTCTATAACACAGCATATACTTTTCAGAGAGATACGTTTAATCTTTTATAATGCTTTATTTGTTCCTCCATATTTTATGATGGTGGTTCTCAGCCTTTTTGATTGTCTAGCATTATTCAAAGCCCCCCTCGAGATACTTCCTCTGGTGTTTCTGCTATAATTATGACAATGCTGCTTTTTTATATATTAAATTAATTCAACACAATTAATTTTGAGATTCTGTAAGATTCTGATTCTGCATGTTTTTCTATAAAAATATTAGTTATTGGGGGATAAATATTATTTCAGGTTTTTTTTT